TTAAAATAGTGGAACCAAGAGATGAATCACATAAAATTTCGTGTCTATATTGCGGTGTGAAGGGGTGAGTGACAAGGTGGTAGTCTCAGTGGCCTTACCTTAGAAGGATCACTACTTCCTAGGTCTCTCAACCCTGGCTGCATGTTAAAACCACCTGGGAACTAAAATAATAAATGAAATACTGATACGCAAGCCCTAACCTCTGAAAGATTCAGTTTTAGTTGGTTTGGGTAGGACCCAGGGATCATATTTCTTAAAAGCACCCTCGGTGATTCTAATGAGCGTCTAGGGTTTCGTTCGAACCCTAGACTCACGCTAACGATACTTAGGAAAAACTAAATATTTATGCTAGACAAACCTTCTTCTAGTTTCATGTCCTTTCCAATCACCTGGGATCTTGTTAAAATGAGATTCTGATTTAGTAGGTTTAGGGTGGGGCCTGGGACTCTGCATTTCTAACCAGCTCCCAGAAGCTGTGATGCTGCAGATTCCCGTGAATCAACTTTGAATTGCAAGGGCTAAAAGGGTTTTAAAAATTCTGCTAATGCTAAGACTCACCTGGGAGGCTTGTTCAATATACAGATTTCCACCCTCTTCCCTGGAAATTCTGTTTCAGTCCATCTGGTTTGGGGCCCAGAAGTATGTTCTTTAGCAAGAACACAGTTACTTATCTTCAGATTAATTTGAGCATATTAGAAAGTCGATTTATGAATTCACAGCAGGTCATTTGCTGTCTTTGGCACAGTGCTAGATGCCTTTCTGACTCTTGCTTTTCTTTTTTTCTAAGTTGACTATATCACAGGAACATGTTCATACAAAAACTTGTACATGAATGTTCATAGCAGCATTATTTGTAATAGCCAAATAGTGGGAAAAAACCACATTTTCATTAACTGATGAATGGATGGACAAAGGGTGGTATAGCCATACAAGGAAATATTATTTGGCTATAAAAAAGGGAAGCCCTGATACTTGCTACAACATGGATGAACCTTGAAAACATTATGCTGAGTGAAAGAAACCAGTCCCCGAATGACCACATACTGTGTGGTTGCATTTGTATGAAATGTCCACAATAGGCAAATCCACAGGGACAGAAAATAGAGTGGTGGGTTGCCAGGGGTGGAGAGAGGGAGGAAAGTGAGTGACTGCCAATGGGCATGAGGGTTTCTTTTTGGAGTGATGAAAATGTTCTGAAAGTAGATTGCACAATCTGTGAATATACTAAAAAACCACTGAATTTTCACGTTAAAATGGTGAATTTTGTGGTATGTGAATTATATCCCAATTTAAAAAAATACCTTAAGTTTTGCCAATTAAAAAAAAGAAACTCTTTCTTTATATACAGGTAGTCCTCAACTTACGACAGGGTTCCGTTCCAACAACTTCATCGTAAGTCATTTCTGACATAAGTCAAATACCTTTTTTTTTGTTTTTTAGTTTCATTATTATTGCCTTTTATTATCAGTATCTTTAAATCTGATCTTTATTTGTCTTTGGGGGTTGAAAGCATTACATATAAACTTACAGATATATACTAACGTTGAATGTAGTACATAGTACTAACAATAAGATGTTCAAACATAAAAATAAAAAGTCGTTGTAAGTGCAGTTCGTCATAACTCGAATGCATCATAAGTTGAGGACTACCTATACATATATTCTACAGATCAAGTAACAATCAGGTTTTTGTCTTCAAGATAACGGGTATTTGATCTTGGCCTTTTGAGTTGCTTTTACTGTTCTAATGCTGGGATTCTGAGTATAACTTGTTCTCACGTCTACGAATTGCCTTTATGAATACCAGTCATTTGCCACTTTCTAAAAATATAAAATCATTGGTTATTTCGTATGGGTCTGGATCGGTCTTTGTGAACATTGTATTCTGAGGCCCGGCATGTGGCTAGGATGAGCTGTTCATTAATCTTTACTGAATGATTCTTTTGGGTGAGAACCAGCCCTGTTTAGTTTGAAGAGTTTATCAAACTTCCTTTTTCTCAGTTATTCAATTATTTCATTGAAAGAATTTTACCTGAATGTTCCTCCAATTTGGATTGAAAAGCCTACATGAGAACTGAAAACTTTGAACCTTAAAACAATTTACCAGTTGCATGCAACTCTCTGTGAATTCCTTCCAGCTAAATATTCCATCACTCTTTTGTTCATTAAAAGAAATGAATTCCAGCAGCTCAGCTTTGTAAACAACTTTGCAATAAAAAACAAGTGTTCACATTCAATGAATGAAAACCATTTGAGACAGGAAATGGGCTTCAGGTTCCAAATGCAGAGCCTGTGTTCCACCCAGGAACATGATTAGGAAGATGTTGGCATAGGAATTGAGAAGACTTTTCTCAAAATAATTAAGAGTTTTCTGTTACTTCGAATTTGATATGAATAATTGATTTCAAAACTTTTCCTTTTGTATGGTCAAGGAAAGACTCCTCTATTAAGTATTTAGGTAAAAATGAGAAGAATAAAATATTATCCTTTGTTTGCTAGAATGAGAAAAGATTTTGAAACTGTTCCTGGCCGGTGAATACTTTTTCAGGCTGCTGAGGTCAGGGAAAACCACTCAACTTGGAACAGATACCCTGAGTTCTAATTCCGATTCTTTTGCTCTTCTGCTATGTGACCTTGGACTTCATAAAATGAGGATAATATTGCCTAACTGGAAAGACATCGTGGAACTTAATCAATTGGTAATAAGTTGGAGAAACACACTCCACAGGGGCTGATAGCCCCAGATGCGGTCAATCGAACTAAACTAGTATTGAGTTTCCATGTTGCTGTTGTTAGCTGCCACTGAGTCATCTCCCACTATGATTCATAGAGGTTTCACCGACTGATTTTTGGAAGTAGATCACCAAGCCTTTCCTCCTAGTCTGTCTTTAGTCTGGAAGTCCTGCTGAGACCTGTTCAACATCACAGCAACACGCAAGCCTCCACTTACAGATGGGTAGTACTGCACATGAGGTGCATTGGCAGGGAATTGAACCGGGGTCTCCCACATGGAACGTGAGAATTCTACCACTGAACCACCAATGCCTTATTGAGTTTCTGTATTGTGTGCAAAACCTCATAGTAAGTGCTGATGATACCCTGAAGAACAAATACTCAATGTCCCTATCCTAGTGAGGGAACACAGACAATTTCTTAGGCAACGGAAACACGAGTTTTTGTTTGTTTGTTTTACCTGGTCTTCATTCATTTATATGAGTATATGAGTGGGTGCAGGGAGGTTTTGTATGGTCATTTTCAAGGGCATTATAAGTAAACGGGAAATTTTTAAAATAAATATTGTCGTGATTGGGCAACCCAAAAGAGTTGAGACTAATAAACCCAGTCGGTGGTGCTCTGAATATTCCACAGAAGGTTAAATGAAAAACTGGAACAAAGCGAGAGGCTCCGTGGACTAAGTATATCCACCCGGTAGGGCATATCCCTGGGACTATCACCCTCTCGGGAAACGATGTCACACTCCGACCCTGTCTTAGAGGTTTTCTTTGAAACTTTTAGACATGCTTACTTCATCAGGCCCTCCTGTTTTATGTAAATGTTAGATTGTAACCCAGCAAGTTTCGTAAATGTTGTTGTTGTTATTAGGTGCCCTCGAGTCAGTTCTGACTCATAGTGACCCAATGTACAACAGAACAAAACTCTGCCTGGTCCCACGCCATCCTCACAATTGTTGCTATGTTTGAGCCCATTTTTGCAGCAACTGTGGTATCTTTCTCTTTTTTCTCTGATCCTCTACTTTACCAAGCATGACGTCCTTCTCCAGGGACTCCCTCCTGATAACATGTCCAAAGTATGAGAGACGAAGTCTTGCCATCCTGGCTTCTAAGGAGCATTCTGGCTTGTACTTCTTCCAAGACAGACTTGTTCGTTCTTCTGGCAGTTCGTGGTATATTCAGTATTCTTTGTCAACACCATACTTTAAATGCATCAATTCTTCTTTTCATAATGTAACCACAAAATCAAAAACCAGTGAAGAGTATGTAGGCATTTTTCACATTTATTTTCTTTTTCTTTTACAAAGAGAAGTCTGGATATTCGCTTTCCTCTCATAGGCAAGGAATTAGAGTGGGAAGTTTTGATCTAGATCAAAGTGGTACTGCTGGTCTGACTCAATTTTTATGAACCCAAACCTTTGAAGCAAGATGTTGACTAATGTGTTTCTGAAGCTTATTCATCCCTGTTCTGCCCCATGTCTAGGTGCGTCGCATGAGTTTATGGAATTTCTCAATGTATATTGTGGATGACGGCATTCTACTCCACAGCCCAGGAAATGATTAGAAGAGCTTGTGTGATATTTGTGGCTGCAGTCTTTCCTTTAAAATCATGGAGTGCTTCAGTAATTCTATATTTACTTGAGAATACACATATTGTTTTCCTGATCAGAGAATGTATTGTTTAAATAATTTACTCAAATATTGAGCTGATCTTTCAAAGTGGATGACTCACTTGAAGGCTTTTAATATACACACCAAGAAAAGCCCCTGGCATTGTGAAATCAACAAAAAAAGAACCGGAAATAAGGTTAGCATAGGTGCTGACAACTTTTCTCAGCTTGGAACTTGCAAAATTGTAAAAATATTGCAATTTGAAAGACTCTGTTGATTCACATTATTGCTTACTTGGGGTGACTGAGTCTTTCTGTATCCCAAGATCAATATGAGGGTAAACCCACTCCTTCTCTACTGGAAATTCCAAGTGTTTAAGTCAAAACCTCAGAATGGAGTGCTAAAATTGCTCGGCAGTGAATATTTTTCAGTGAGCCCGTATCTTACAACCACATCTGCTGACCCATAAGGTTTATCAAACTGTGGTGTGGTCACCCTCCAACTGCCCTGTGCCCTACCTCATTTGTGCCCAAAGGAATGTCTGAAAAGAATAATCAGAATTTTCATAGCCTCGAGACTCAAATGATTCTATAACCTGTTTACTGGTTTGGGGATGTGAAACTATTATTTTTGTTCCCAAGGGAAAAGCAAATTGTTGTGCTTGCTTCAGCAGCACATATACTAAAATTGGAACGATACAGAGATTAGCATGGCCCTTGTGCAGCGAAGACAGCCACATTCAGGAAGCATTTGATATTTTGCACGGCTCCTGGAGGTGTGACCTGTTGTTGGTTTACACAAAGAAAATTGCATGAATCAAAGCAACATGTGGCATTTAATATGGAAACTGATTTTTCACTATTCACACAAAAATAAATAACTAAAAAGCAAATTGCTGATAAGTTTCTTACATGAAAAACAATTTGTTTAATATTTAAGCTCCAGTAGTACAAAATAGTAGATTGAGACACAGATCCTTGTATATTTTATGCTAATGCTCACTCTAACTAAATTAAAAACATAAAGGCATCTCTCTGATATTTTACTGAAATTGAGTCTTTTTCTTCAAATCAAATCTCCAAAGTATGATACATGTTTTAAATTAAATTTCCAGAGAACTAATGGGACATTTTGGAAACTAAAAATGTTGAAAGGTATTTTTCGCTTTTTATTCCTCCCCCAGGTAAGTGGCCACACATTTTGGCAATCTTGCATTATGTTTGCATCTATATAACTGCCAAGGCTGTTAAAATGATAAAACATAAGACAATTAAGTTAGCGAAGAGTACTAACTTTTTTTTTGTGCTACTTGAGTGTAAACATACAGAAATATATTCACAGGGGTTCCAGTTATAGGGAAAGGATTTGAAAGATTCAAGAAAAGCCCAGAGGGTACAAGGAAAATAGAAGTGCTATCTTACCCCCAAAAGTGTTAGTCTAGCATTTTCTATATGTTTTAACCCTCCTAGAATGAAATGATTGGAAGTTCTCCTCTGGTTTGTCCTCTTCTATTTAGCCACCATTATACTCTAAAAGCTTATATTTCAAAGGTATAATGTTTAAGGAGAACGTTACACAAAACCCCAGGCCACAGATGAATCAAAGGATGCACAGAACGTTAGTGTTTCCTTTATTTCCGCTTACTGAAATAATTGAAAGCCAGAACTTTGGTTCAGATTACTCATATCATAAAATTCCAAGTTAAGAGGGCATTTAACAATAACAGTGGCTTATATTCAACTTTAGTTCAAAACATCTCAAGAGACCTCAACGTAAAGAATTTCTAAAATCTAACTTCCAAATAAAAGTGTGTAGTGTATCTAATCTGGAGGAATGTATTATAAGCATAAGTAATTTGGTTAAATTCCAATGTAGCACGCTTACTCCTCTATCTAGAAAGAGAGCAATAACTAGAGTAACTCAAAGACCCCTCACTATCAAGGAATCCGAGAGAAGAATCCCCCAAATTGTTATGCCTTATCTGAAGTTTCTACAGTTATTTTTTTGTTCTCTGTCCCTGAGGGAGGTTTTTAAGTCAGGACAGGATCAACCAAGAGGTACAGTTGAGTCTTGTTGTTTGCAGTAATTATGTTCAATAAAAGTTGCCACAAAAACTGAATTAGCAGGACTGAACCATTTCTCTAGGGAAAATACAGGGTTAGGTTCCTCGGTCCACTGATCACAACATTTCGTCAACTAATCTGAACAATTTCTGGACTTTGGCTAATAGCATTATGCTAAGGTTAATTTCTTGGTTTTGATAAATATTCCATTGTTACATAAGATGTTAACAATAGGGGAAACTGGGTGAAGGATATAGGAGAACTCTCTAAACTATGTCTGTAACTCTTCTGTAAGTCTAAAATTATCCGGGGAAAACAAAAACAACTGTTAAAGATAAATTGTGTCTTGGTTCCTGGGGCATGTCATTTTGTAGGAATCATGCTAGCAAAATTAGCTCCAGAAGTTCCCTTTTAATCTTTTTTCACTTTCCAGTATCTCTACTATTTTTGCTAATTCTCCAAATTAAAAGATTCTCAAGGTTGACAGTATAATTAATTAGTCCCGTAACCTGTGTTGAGTTTGCTTCGCTCTAGTGTCCAGAGTCCAGTAGCCAATAATGAGTCTTCTACTTAGCAGGGCTGATACGTTTTCCACTCGAGAGGATGACCCTGTAGAGACTTCATTCTAAGCTGTTGTTGTCAGGTGCCATCGAGTCAGTTCTGACTCATAGTGACCCTATGGACAACAGAACGGAACACTGCCCGGTCCTGTGCCGTCCTCACAATTGTTGTTATGCTTGAGCCCATTGTTGCAGCCACTGTGTCAATCCATCTCGTTGGGGGTCTTCCTCTTCTTCACTGACCCTCTACTTTACCAAGAATGATGTCCTTCTCCAGAGACTGATCCCTCCTGACAACACGTCCAAAGTATGTGAGATTTACTCTCTCCATTATGCAGGTGACACAACCTTGCTTGCTGAAAGTGAAGAGGACTTGAAGCACTTACTGATAAAGATCAAAGACTACAGCCTTC